ACGCCAGCACGCCCAACAGCGTGCCAGCAGTGCCCAGTAGGCCTCGGCGTTGCCCGACAGCACGCCCGAGTGCCCAGTCAGCCCAGCACGCGCAGCCCGCGTGCCAGTCGCCTACCTACAGCGCACAACAGCGCCCGGTAGTGCTCGTACGTGCCAGTGCCGTCGCCAGTGTCCGCGGCAGTGGCCAGTCATGCCCAGCAAGTGCCCAGCCGTCGCTGGCCGTGCACAGCGGCACGCCAGTGACCGTTGATGAAGACCGTGTGTCTCGATTGCCGACAAGCCGCTCCCGCGCCTTAAATCGTTCGATAGGTGTTAGGAAGTCTCACACTCGCAGCCTTTCTAACAAATAAAGTTGCAAAAGAATTCAAGAAGAAAACTAGAGCAAAGAGTTTGAACAAAAGTTCGGATTTTTGTATTGATTTCTGAATGATTAAATTAACAAGAGGAAGGGCCTTTATATAGGCATCAACTAGATCTAGTCCTAATATAACTATAACTCTAATAAAGCAATAAAATATTAGGTGTCCTAAACAAACTAGAAAACAAGGAAATAAATATCTAGAATATCTCTTGCTTGCGACTCAAGCCGCCATTGCGCGCGTCCGCGTTGCCTAATTGCCCAAGGACTAGGGCTTCATCTTCCATTCCCGCGCACGCGTCCAGCAGCTCGCCTAATCCTCGCACGCCTAGGCAAGTTCACGCGTGCACCCCGTCGCCTGCGCGTTCAGCCCCGCGCTCGGCCCTGATAATATCGAGCGCGTCATCTTCTGCGCGCGCTTGCCCATCCGCGTATCGCGCTTCTCCGGCACGACGACTTAGCCTCCTCCGCGCATGCCATGCGCGACTCGCTGCATTCTTGAGCCTTATCGCCGTGTCCGCATCATTCCCGTCCCCTTCAAGTGCTTCCTTGTCCTCAAGGAAAAAATCGGGGAACAGTTCGCGCATCTCGTCCCAACTTTGCCATGTCGCTTCTTCACTCGGCAAGTCCTCCCATTCGACGAGCACCTCCCAAAAATATTTTCCAGCCTTTTTGACTTGTCTGTACTCCATTGCGCGGCTTGGCCGCACCATAACGTACCCGTCCGGCGGGACCGCGGGTAGTCGATCTTTTGTCGTATGCGTCTCGCCGAGTCGTTGCTTGAGTTGTGAGACATGTATGACAGGATGGATATGGGAATCGTCCGGCAACTCAATTCGATAAGCAACCTTCCCAACCTTGGCCAAATTTTATAAGGCCTGTAATATCGAACTCCGAGTTTGGTCGCGGCCCTTTGCGCGGCCGTCCTTTGCCGAA